CTAGAACTTACCATTCCCTAAGAGTGACCAGAGAATTTATAGCACCTGCTATATGAGTCGGAATCGACTCAGAGGCAATGAGTTTATGGATTTATAAGTAGGGTAAGGACTACTATTTCCCCTGCTAAATTGAAAGTGGGAGAACCATCAAGTTTGCTTTTATGATGAGTCTTGCTTCTTTAACACACTATGTAGAATTAGAAATTTGAAGCCAGCTGGACAGTGAGGTGCAGTAGATTGGCGACATTTAGGCTGAAGGATAAGTTGTCGTTCGTTGTTGTTAATTGCTGCCCTGTCGAGTTCAGCTCATATTATGTATAACAGAACAAAACTTTGCCGGTCCTGTGCCATCTTCATAATCACTGGTCTGTTTGAGTTCATTGTTGTGATTTTTGTGTCAGTCCATCTCATTGGGGGTTTCCCTTGTTTTTGCTGATCTTCCACTTTACCAAAGATAATTTCCTTTTCTAGTGATGGGTCTTTCCTGATGACATGTCCAAAATAAGCGAGACGAAGTCTTGCTATCCTTGCTTCTAAAGAGCTTTCTGGTTGTATTTCTTCTAAGACTGATTTGTTTGTTCTTTTGACAGTCCGCGTTATACTCAATATTCTTTACCAATACCACAATTCGAATGCGTCAATTCTCCTTAGATCTTTCTTTTTCATTGTCCGTCTTTCACATGCATATGAGGCAATTGGAAAGACCGTGGCTTGGGTCAGGAGCACCTTAATCATCAAAGTAACATCTTTGTTTTTTAAAACTTTAAAGAGGTATTTGCAGCAGATTTGCCCAGTGCAGTATGTCATTTGATTTTTTTTTTTTTTTGGTACTTTAGATGAAGGTTTACAGAGAAAATTAGTTTCTCATTAAAAATTAATACACGTGTTCTGTAAGCCTTCACCTGAAGTACAATTAAAAAAACAAAAACTACAAAAATGTGGTGAAAAATAAATCAAATAAAATCTAAATAAAGGGGGAAAGAAAAAGGTGGAAACAACTGTCAACAGATAAATGGATAAACAAATGTAGTACACACATATAATGGAATACTACTCAGCCAGTAAGAGAAATGAAATCTTGATACATGCTACAGTATGGATGGAACTTGTTGACATTATGCTGAGTCAAATACATCAATCACAAAAGGACAAATATTGTATGACTTCATTTATATAAAAACAGGAAAAGGCAAATGTATAGAGACCAAAGTTTATTAGTAGTTATCAGGTGCAGGAGGGAGCAGGGAAGGGGAGTTATTGCCTATGAAGTGCTGTGTTTCAGTTTACGGTGAAACTGATCAAGGGTAGAGTTGCACAACCGATTATTCTAAGTGCTGTCAGTAAGTTGTACAACTGTAAAAAGTTGAATTGGCAAAAGTTGTGTGATAGACACATTTACCACAATGAAAACAAACAAACGAAAAAAAGAGTAGCTACTGAGGCTGTTTATGCACAACCAAACACCTTATGAGATTTGGTTCCTTGGTTTAGAAGTTTAGGGTCATGGTTGCATGGGACATCCCAGTTAATTGGCCTAATAAAATGTTTAATACTTCTGTTCTACCTTCTAGTTTGTGCATAATGCCTGGGGTCTTAAAAGCTTGCAAGGGGGCCATCCAAGTCACAACAATTGGTCTCTGTTGGCCTGGAGCAACAGAAGAAGAAAGAGAGTCAGGAATAGGAGGACAAAATGGAATGTGTGGCTAACTGGCTCCATGAACAGCTACCTTCTTTGCCATCAGACCAGAAGAACTGGATGGTGCCTGGCTACCATTGCTGGATATTTTGATCAAAGGTTCTATAGAAGAATCCTGATCTAGATGGGAAAATGCAGAACAGAATTTCAAATTCTCCTGGACTCCAGACTTTCTGGAACTATGGAGGCTGGATGAACTGCTGAAACTATGGTCCTGAGATAATCTTTAAAACTTAAACCAAAAATCTCCCGTGAAGTCTTCTTAAAATCAAACAATAGTTTAGCTTAACTACTAAAAATAAGTCTACCTTAAGCATTAGCTCTTTTAATAACTATCTATATGGGATCGAATTGACAACAGCACCTAGAAAGTGGGCAGTAAGTTTATGCCAATGGGAGAGAAAAACTCAGAAAAGGAGGCTGAGAATGATTGCACAACTCGAAGAATGTAATCAACATCACTGAATTGTACATGTAGAAACTGTTGAATTGGTGTATGTTTGCTGTGTATATCCTCAACAACAACAACAAATAAAAATTTAAAAAGTGAATAAATAATAAAAAAAATTAATACACATATTGTTTTGTGACATTGGTTGCCAACCCCATGACTTGTCAACACTCTCCCCTTCTCGACCTTGGGTTCCCCATTACCAGCTTTCCTGTCCCCTCTTGCCTTCTCATCCTTGCCCCTGGGCTGGTGTGACCATTTCGTCTCGTTTTGTTTTATGGGCCTGTCCAATCTTTGGCTGAAGGGTAAACCTCAAGAGTGACTTCAGTACTGAGTTAAAAGGGTGTCCAGGGGCCATATGTCATTTGATTGCTTGACAGCTGCTTCCAGGGACATTGATTGTGGATCCAAATAGAAGGAAATCTTTGACAACTTCAGTTTCCTCCCTGAGCTGTGGGCTGAACATCTGGTCCTGCACTAACACCTTCTAGGCTCCCAACATTAAGAGAAACTTCTGATGATGGGCCAGCAGGACTCAGAGACAAACGAGAGTCCCACATGTGTGTATCCCACGTTTGTGCTTTTCATCACTCCATGTCTGTCTCTATGCAGAATCCTCAGTGAGCTCTTAAACTAAAGGGCCTATATGTTAAGAAGGGGCAGAGGGAGGGAGTCTGGCCCTATTCTGCTGCAGGGAGAAAATTCGCCAGGATGGAGTAGTGAAGGGCAGCTCAGAAGAGGACAGGAAAGCAGGCAAGTGGAGCCCCGGGAGAGGGATGGAAGAAAGATAATGTTGGGTCTTACCTGGGATTGTGAAGTGGCCTGGAACCTGAGGCAAGAGACCCACTTGGTGTCTCTTCCCTATGGCTTGGGAGATTCCAGTTTGTGGGCAGACCTATTTAATAAGAAAATGGGTATGAAAATTCAATACTTTAGTAGTTTTGAGTGGAAGGGAGCATGGCATTGTGGTTAAGTGTTTGATTGCTGAAAGTGAGCTGCCTGCGTTCAAATCCCAGCTCCACGTTTGACTGGTGGTATGTCTTTTGATGTGTCCTCTGTGACTCAGCGTCCTCACACGTAAAATGGGGATAATGATGTGTTAGGTATTGGTCCTGTTTTTTAGTAATCACAGTTAAGTATCATGGTCTAGTGGATGTCAACTTCGAGTCTCAAAGAAGCTGTCTGTCCTTCAACAATGAACTCTGCCAGCAGGCTTGGTTTGTGATCCTCTGACTACCCCTTTTTTGGAATGGAAGGGAGATCTACTTCATTTTCATCCAGCTCTTTCCTCTCAATTAACCTTTCTGAGCAATACCTGACTAGGGGTGCCAGATTTTGCAAATAAAAAGTAAGATGCCTAGGGAAATTTGAAGTTTAGATAAACAATTTTTTTTTTTTTTTTTTTTTAGTGTAAATATGACCTACGCAATATTTGGGACATACTTACGCTAAAAAAAGGATTCACTGTTTATCTGAAATTCAAATTTAACTGGGCATTCTGTATTTTATCTGACATTCTAATACCTGACCACAAATTGCACGAAACAGGTGGACCTGGTCCTTGGGAACTAAAATGCTATAATGTGATTCCACTGTTTACATTTCACCCAAAGATAGTCTGCAATTTTGCTTTTGCAGGAACTAAAAAAAAAAATTGAAGAACAAAACATACGACAGTTGCAGCAAAGATGTAAGAGGAGCTGATCTCATATAAATATTATGTTAATTAAGACGGATTGGTCTGGAGTATAAACAAAATAACTGCAGGGGCTGGTGTTTGTTCTGGCTGGGTTTCTTAATATAGTAACTCAGTTCCCATCCTGTTAGCACTCTTTTCTTATCAAATATTGAACTGGGGTATAAGGAAGTTTAAATTACCAGTGTTTGAAGCTCCGTTTTCTAAATAGTTGAAACAGATGGTTTATTGACTAAATTTTGTTACAGCTCGTTTATTGACACCAGGCTTGCCACGCTGGTGAGCAGTTTCCCCTCAGCTCTGATTGTTCCATTGAATTTGCCTACTGGGCAAAGGTCTCATTTGTATTGCTACTTGCTTGCTACTTAGACACGGCATTGGGCAAAAAGCCTAGCTGCTCCTCCTGCATGATTTCTCACGGATTCAGGAATACGGCAATAACCATGCAGAAGATCTTTTAAAATGAATGTTACTTGACAGTATACAGTTGACAAGGTTGGACACTCTACCACCTAAGAAGCAGTGGCCTTAAACACCACCACCAGCTGCCGTCGAGTCGACTTCCACTCCTGGCGTCCCCACGTGCGTCAGAGAAGAACTGTGCTCTGTAGGGTTTTCAGTGGCTGATTCTTCAGAAACTGATTGTGTTAGTGATCTAGTGCTGCTGTAACAGAAATACCACAAGTGGATGACTTTCACAAACAGAAATTAATTCTCTCACAGTCTAGGCGGCTAGGGCAACAGCTCCAGGGGAAGGCTTTCTCTCTCTGTCAGTTCTGGAGAAAGGTCCTTGTCATCAATCTTACCCTGGTCTAGGAGCTTCTCAGCACAGGGACCCCCCGGTCCAAAGGACACACTCCTCTTCTGGCACATCTTTCTTGGTGGCACGAGATCCCCCTCCTCACAACTTGATTCTCTCTTTTATATCTCAAAAGAGATTGACTCGAGATGCAGCCTAATCCTGTAGATCAAGTCCTGCCTCATTAACATCGTACTGTTAAAAAAACCAAGGAATGCCTGTGGATTCGAACTGCTGACCTTTTGGTTAGCAGATGTAGCGCTTAACCACAACGTCACCAGGGTTTCCCATTAACATCATAGAGGCAGGATTTACAACACACAGGAAAATCACAGCAGATGACAAAATGGTGGACAACCACACAATACTGGGAATCATGGCATAGCCAAGTTGACACACGTTTTTGGGAGACCCAATTGAATCCATAACATTGATTGCCAGGCATTTCTTCCTAGGCACCTCTGGGTGGAATTGAAGTGCCATCCTTTGGATTAACAGCCAGCAGATTAACCGTTTGCATCAACCAGGGACTCTGTGAGCTTAACAATGAACATAATGTCCTTTTTACCATTTTGGGGGGATTAGGGTCAGGTATAAGATCCAATCCAGGATTGCACATTGAATTTAGTTGTCGTATCTCTTTAGTCTCTTTTAATCTATAACAGTTTCTCAGTCCTTCTTTGCCTTCTATTGATGTTTTTAATGAGCGTAATATAGTCACTTTGTGGAATGTTTTTCAAATGGGTTCATCTGATGTTTCCTTGTAATTAGGTAAGGAGCCCTGGTAGTGCAGTGGTTAAGCGTTTGGTTACTAACCAAAAGGTTTGAACCCACCAGCCACTCCCAGGCAGAAAAATGAGGCAATTTGCTTCAGTAAAGATTACAGCCTAGAAAACCCTATGGGGCAGTTCTACTCTGTCCTATAGGGTTGCTATGAGTCGGAATCAACTTGACAGCACCCGACAGCAATAACTTGGTTTGAGAACAGTGCTTCATGCCTCCCACCAAAGAATCTTAATTTGAACTGAATAGCCTAAATTCTTCATAAGATTCTCAACATCACATTTAAGAGTAAAAATGGATTGGGGTGCCCATGTGTTTCTGGGTTTTCTTCTTGGAAGGAGATGAGCTGTTTGGGTATGTGTGAATGGTCTGAGGAAGGTTAAGAGAGGGCCGGAGCTGTTTCTTGTAAACTGACAGTTCCAGGGAGTGAGTTGGAGATAATCACATAATCCATTTATAACCATCCAAGTTAACAAGATCGCACCTTCTCCAAATAGGCCCCTTATTTACAAATAGTCACTTCCCCTTAAAAGTGGGCTGTCGCCCTTGTGACTTGAGTCAAATGCAGTGAGTCTCATGACATGATATTCCCACAACACTACAAAGATCAATTCCCATTAGGAACATTATTAGAACTGGAAATGTGTTTTTTAAATGTATAATCTGAGCTTTGAAGATAATTTTTTCTCTTATTTTGTAGACAGTCTTCTCCCCAAAATAACTAGCAGGCTATGCCTGCCCAACTTGATCCCAGGTTGCATCAGTAGACATGGAACCTCCCAGAACAAGGGCGGCAGGAGTCCTGTGTCACTGTGGTAACAAATATCGTCAAAATAATCTGCAAATATTGCCTGGTCAGACCATACGTGGAGAGTGTTGAGAGCCATTCATAAATGCAATAATTTACAGGAGAGAATGGGTAAGTTGCTGAAGAATTCAAAATCAAGTCATAAGATTCATTTTTTGGACTTTTTTAGTTTAGCTTTGTCTTATGCCCCATCTTGGGTTTTCCGCTCCCGTTCCTCTATGACTAGAACTCTTGTCTCTCCCTTATCAGTTCTCATCCCATGACAAGGGCTGTGCTCCCCTACCGACACATTTGCAAACGTAGTCTGCAGCCAAGATATTGGAAGATTTCTTCCAAAAGAGGTGCAAGATGGCTATCTGGTTGAAGGAAGTTTAGTTCACCTGGAGCTCTCTCTATGCTCTTCAAATCCTACATTCTGCTATGAGAATGAGCTTTCTTCCAGAACAGCAAGTGGAATCTGCCTGTCCACCATGTCTTCTACCCCTCAGGTGGCAGGTCTAGCCCAGGTACAGGTCTTCCCTCTGTTTCCATCTGGCTGAAGAGCCCAGTGTGCCTGGCCATGTCCTCAGACACACACCACTGTGGGAACAGAGACGCTGAGAGAAGAGAGCTGCCTGCACACAGGAAGGGCAGCCAGGAAGATGGGGGATTAGACATTCAAGTGCAGCCCCAAGAGTTATGAGCTGGAAGTCAGGAGGGACTCCATGAGAGACCTGGGCTCCATAGAAGGAAGAACTTTCTAACTACTCTGCTTACCTTTATCTCTCCTCAGTGACTTGTTAAACTGAGTAGAGTCGAGACCAAACCCCAAAACACATTGCAGTCAAATTGATTCTGACTCACAGCGACCCTATAAGACAGCGTAGAACTGCCCCATAGGATTTTCAAGGAGCAGCTGGTGGATTCAAACCGTCGACCTCTTGGTTAGTACCCGAGAGCCCTCTAAAAATGTAATAGGTGCCCTTAAAATGGTAGCAAGTTACCTTCTCACTACCAATATTTGCAGAAAAGCTGAAAGTACTTCGGTGGGCTGCTGAAGGAAGTGGGGCACACGAGATAATTTTTAAAGATCCCTTCTAAGCCTGAGATTCTATGAGGGTCAATAATCAAATGTTAGTGAAATTTTGCCTGAGTATTTTTCCTAAAGTAATTGCTCGCTAATCTGTCTTGTTCAGAATTCAAAGAAATGTTTCTCAGTGGTTGACAAAGAAGAGTCAATTTCATTTTCTATGTATGTCCCCAGAATTCATGGGATTCATACAAAGTCGTGTAAAATGGGAGAACCTTACATGTTTCTTGATGTTGTTACATCAACAGAATCCCACACTCCAGGGCTACTTGGTGAGACCACTTGGAAGCTAAAAACAACTTATTATTTCTTCAGGTCATGCTCTACTAATGCAGCAAAACAAAAATTGGGGAGTTTTATTCCATCTGGATATACTATGTAGGGGAAATGTAAAAAAAACAAACAAACCAAAAACAAAGGGCAAAACTCAGATTTCAACTCAAGGAAAAATTAACTTGCAAATATTATCAAAATAATTTTTTCCATTTATTGAACAAGATGACTTTCTGAATGTACGCATTTGCTTTATGAACACAGAGTAAAATATTTATTTCCATCTTCATTTTAGTCTAGTGATCACTACATAAATTTAGACATAGATAATGGACATGCTTTACACAAGAACATGCGTGGGCTTCGGTTAATTTGGTGTGTCCATGGTATTAGGTGATTTCCAGGCTTTGTGGAAGTTCATTAGGTGGGCATTAGCACATCTGCCCCCATGACCATCAGGCCATGAGCTCACAAAACCAGTGCTCATGAGTGATAGAAACGTGCTGACCACAGCAAACAGTTATTTTTGATGGGGTCATTAACTTAGGGAAACCTTTCTGCACCTAGAAACACCCTTCCTTTGCTGTTATTGTACAATGTTGTCTACTTCCCTTCTGGCTAATGTGTGACATTAAATGTCCTTGTTTGGGGGCAGTAAAATGTATGACATTTCCTTTTTCATGTGGGCTTGCACAACCGCGAAGGCTAAATATTACCAATGATGACTCTGTGAAAAGATCCACAGTCTTTAAAAAGGGCAACGTCCCTTCTATGTTGCAGATAAATAGAAAGAAAAAAATTTTTTTTCCCAGAAGTGTTGCTTGGCTTTTGGGTCTGTTGATGAATCCAGTAAGAAGTAATATGTAAAATCTCTTCATATGAAAATAACTTTTTCTCTAAGAATACAGATTCGAAAGAAGACCAAAACATTTCTTAACAGTTCTGGAAAAAGTTTTTTCCATTAATTTCCCAGGCAACAAAAATTATACAAAGGGAAAGAGCTAGACACATGGAGTCTCACTTTTTTAGAAATTACTAAATTAAAATTTTGGCCATTTGTAAAGCTATTAGTAAATTTAAATGGATTTGCCCAATCGGACCTCTGAATTGACAGGGTCAGTGAAGACAATGGATAGAGGGGGACGCGCTCACTTTGCAGGACAAAAAGACCCAGTTAAATACTGACCCAGTTCCCTGAGTAGTACTCATATTCCCTCAAAGTCTTACAATATTTACCTCTCATGGATATGCCCTGTCTGAATGTTTGGGGCCTACAATAAAATGACAATGTCAGTTTATGCAAGAACATGATCATTTACTGGTTAAATATTTTTCGGAATGCCTACATTTCAGTTAACACTGTACAAATCAGTAAATATCTTAAGGGACTCACAGCATGCCTACAAGACACAAATATACAAAGTTATGGCAAGCTTATGGCAAGGCTCCTTAACATAACAGGAAATGTACAGGCACAGAGATGAAAATATAGGCCATCTATTGTAAATGAGCCATATTTTTGACAAAGGATACTATCTGAAAAGCACAGAAGAATATTTTATCCAAGAGGGAATTACAAACATAAAAATAAAATATCTGGTATTCTACACTATATTACAAAAATAAATACAGCGATCAATAAATAGGAGGAAGCCCAGAAAATTTCACATGAATATTTGGGTTGTTGGCTGCCAAAGCCTCTGTTCCAACTCCCATCAAGGATTGTTTAGCTTTATGGATTCCAGTGATGATAACTCTGCTGTAAAAGACTGCCGTGAGGCCTAGTGGAGGGTCTATGGCCAGAGGAAGACCTTGGTAAATTCTACTTTCCTGAGAATCTGACAATTTTATAGTTTACTATTAATGCAGTGGGGTAGAGGACTTGCAGATGTACTGTGAGGGGTCTGATAGGAGATGGGTTGGAGGAGACCAGGGAAAATTCTCTTTATGATTTATGTATTTCTGGTTTTTGATGAGGAGAAAGCAAAAAAAAAAAAAAAAAAAAAGGATGTAACTAGTAACATTTGAATAACCAATATGGGGCTCTATACATTCACTTTCCATACAGAGGAGACAAATTATAGAAATACAGGTTTACGTCTGGACTATGGTAAAAGGAGAAACATCTAGGCTATGCAGCCTAATCGTCGATAGCTTAGATTTTCACCTCTCTTAAACAGTATAGTGATAATAGGTGCTCACAGCAAGCGCTGACTGGGCGCTCTGGCGAGCCCACAGAGGGTTTGGGGGAAGCAAAGGCTAGCATGGTATTTGTGTTCTAATATCAGTGTGTGCATGTCAGTGGTGTGCTGGCTCAAATGGGTTTTCAAGAGCCCGTGATTAAATTTGCAGGAATTTTGCAAGCCATTCAACTTCTCATTGGTACTTGAGATAAGCCATGAATTTTGATGTCAAATGGGAATATTCACGTCATTGAAACCTACAAATCAAGGCTTTTTTTCCCCCCAGAGCACTATGGAAAACATTTACCAGCACACCCCTTTCTTATATTTTCAACATAAAGAAAATTTTACTTGATTTTTATCTAACCAGAGCTAGCCTATTCAGCCAAGGTTTTACTGTATATCTATTACAGTACCTTTTGAAAGGATAAGAAGTACCGTAGAGTATACATCGTGTACCATGAATTATCAAAGATGCACCACATTCCTTTGAGGGCGCTAAGCTTGGCTGTCCAAAGCCAGTTGCACAAACACACACACACACAAGTTATTTTATATGAAGGCTATTCCATAAATGAACAATTCCGAGTTCCTTGGCCATCCCAAATTGTCAGTTTCTGTATACATACTGATGGTTGAAATTCCACTCTTCCAGGGACACTGAATTCCCCCGGGACATTACTTCTGGACACCAGTGGGCAATGAAGGTACAGAGCTGAGGTCAAAATAAGGTAAAATGTTCTTCAAAATAGTTTCCCTCGTCTCCAATTTCTAGTTCAGTATGAGTTGTAACTCCAAGGGGTTTGTGAAAGGGAGGCTGCTAGTTTCCCAGGTTTAAAGAAAAATAAAAGTGCAAGACTTCTTAAGGAAACATTCATTGGGATGAGTGGGGGACAACGCACTAGAATTAGAATCCACATTCCCGAGTCTAGCATGAACCATCCTTGTTGCCTTCCTGGAGATGTGGGAATGTTTGGGAACTGCTCTGCTCTGGTTCCTTTGGCACAAAGCCCCTGACCCTGCCACAGGTGGGGCTAGGGCTGGAGCCAGGGTCTCAATGTCCTCACAGCCCCCCGCCTGTTGTGTACACCATCAGACCATTCCTGCCAGGAACACTTAACACTTCCCAGACCCCAGCCTGGGCCAGTTCCCCCAATGGGAAGGCTGCAGAGTAAATATGACCATGGAGCAAACCTGATACCAAAATTCAGGCCTCACTGTCGAGTCATTTGCTTGCGAGTCCATTTATTTGTTTTTGTTTGTTTAAATGCATTATTTTAAGATTTGGTTTTCTTTTTCTCTTACTTGTGTTCTTCATGGGCAAAGTATTTCATAAAGGATAGTATTAAAATCAAATCAAATTAAATATCAAGGAGGAATCTAGAAATTAGAACACTAACCCATTTCATCCTGATAGCAGCTTCTTTTGTGTCCCCTTCAAGCCCACAGCAAGGGCAGTAGAAGTCAATGAAGACGGGGGCATAGGAATGGGAAGAAGACAAGAGGCACTAGGGCAAAGAAGAAAGAAGAGAGGGAAACAAGGAAAAGGAGCAAGAGCAGAGGTGCAGAGGCAAGAGAGAAATATTAAGAAGTGAAGAAAAATATTAAGAAGTGCATAGTCTAACAAACAGGTCCCTTCTAAGTTTCCTCCCCCTGGCCTTGAATAATTTTATTTTGTCCAAAAGATTGAATTCCCTGGTCAGAACTGATTATAATTTTGCAAACATATCTGAGGATGGTATCTATATCCTTTGCCTCTTCTTCCCTTCGAGCCCCCTCTAACCTCCTCTACCCTCTGCAGCAATAAAGGCCAACACTATGGCCTTGTTTTCCTGTTGTCACAGGAACAGATTTCATCCTGAAGTCCCTGTTTTCCTTTCTTGACCAGGTTCTGCCCTCTAGAACACCCTGGTCCTTTGTGGGTTCACTCCTTGCTGATGTATTTTTGAGGCCCATGTTGCCTCTCAAAGGGGTTTGGTTTCTGTATCAAAGAGCACCTCCCCTCAAACATGCAGCATCCTTCACCAAGCCCTGCTGCTCTGAGCAATGGCAGAAATTCAACTGGCAAAAGCTACATTTCCAACAGTATTTAGGATATGTAATACTCCATTAAAAAAAAAACAAACTGGTTGCCAGTGGGTTGATTCCAACTCATGATGACCCCATGTGTGTCAGAGCAGACTGTGAAACATATTGCCAGACCTCTCTTCCGAGGTGGGTGGACTCAAACTGCCAACCTTTCAGTTAACAGCTGAGCACTTTAACCATTTGCACCACCTAGGAACTCAGTATAGGGTGTTAAATTGTTGTTGTGTGTTGTAGAGTTGATTCCAACTTATAGCGACCCTATAAGACAGATAGAGCTGTCCCATAGGGTTCCCAAGGCTGTAACCTTTACAAAAGCAGACTGCCACATCTTTCTCCCTCGGAGCAGCTGATGTGTTCGAACCACCGACCTTTCACTTAGCAGCCTAGAGTTTAACCATTGTGCCACCAGGGCTTCTTGGGTGGTTAAATACCTGGTACAAATAGTCTTGACATAAATCCTACTCAGAGAAGGGGTGATTGAGATCATACCATTGGGTTTTAATCTACACACGTTTGAGCGAGTCATCTACATTTATGGGTCTAATCGGCCTATGTATAACCAAAAGATATTTATAAATTCATGTATGTACACATATACATATACAAATATTATCTTTTGATACTATATTTCTGTTTAGGGGTTGTTATTTCCAAATTTACATAGAGGACAAGTAGAGCGGGCTTGCCATTTGCTGTGAGAGACAACATTGCCAGAAAACGGCAAGTCAAAAGAAAAACAGATTGGAAGGGACCAGAGTGTAGAGCAAAATATGCATTTCCTACAGCCAACTGACCTGTCCCTTCCCCTAAGGCAGTAAGCCTATATTATCTGTACACCCTCATTAAATAATCGCATTAAATAAGAACACAATATACACATTTACAGTTGTTAAATAAGCCACAGGACTCCTATCTACAGCCACATTCAGAGACTGCCATGCCTTCATATTTAAACTTGTAGGTGACGACACCCTTGTCTAAATAGAGGATGGAAATGGGCTCTAGCTTCGTGGGCACACAGCAGGCTTTGGAAGCCTTCTGGGAATTCTTGAGGTGGACCAAGGCCTGGATAATCGCATGCTTTGTGGGTGTGAGATGCTCTGCCAGGGGGTAGTTGCAAACACCTCGGCATTCGTAGGCTTCATATCCAGGCGGAGCGATGATCCAGGAGTCCCACCCAATCTCCTTGAAGTCGATGTAGAGTGGGGTCCTTTTGCAGTAGTTTCCCTTGGCGTTCCTTCTGATTCGGGCAGTGGAGTCGTAGATGATGTTTGACCTCATCTGCAGCAAAGCTTCTTCACCGGGGCCACTGGAAAAACCATCCAGGCCCAGGCTGTCCAGCTCCAGAAGTTGCTCATGAGCGATCATTTCGTTCAGTTCCTCTTTCAGCTCCTTGTCACTACTTTGGTCATCAGAAAACACGATGAGCAAAGGCACATGCTTATTCTGGGCACTGATGTCTATTTCTAGTTGTCCCCTGCCAGGATCCTCGGCTTCTTCATGTCTGCTCTCAATATGGACTTCCAGCTGGTGGGAGGATAAGCTTGACTTTTGCCAACGTCTGATAGCATCTGTGACATCAAAAGTCTCCCACTCACTGTTGGTTCCATAGATCTCTCCGGACACCAAAACCAGCATGTTTCTTTCACCTCCTCTGTCCTCTTTGTTCTCTAGTACTTCAAAAATAGTAATTTTCCTGTCCACTCCTTCGTATATCATGCGGTCTCTTTGCACCAGGGTGTACAGCCTGAGCTCGGCCATGATGATCTCTTCATGGTGAGGGATGGACATGTTGAAGAGGAGAGGATATTTCCGGAGACCATTAAAACTGGCTGGTTGGGAAAAAAGATCTGTCCAAAAAAAGACAAAAATTAGATTTTCAATATGTTTCCGAGAAAAACAGCTGCTTATTTATGTAATAAGAGGGCCTATCCATGCAGGAAGCTTAATAGAGAAGGAGGAGGGGAGAAGATCAACGAAAACAAACACAATGTTAGCATCCTCTGATACATAAAATACCGAATGGTCAATGGTACAATGCTGAACTGACTTAGGCTGCCAACATTGAAATGGAAAATGTCAGGCTAATGGGTAAGAAGAAACTCATCCAGTCTTGCTTGAGTAGCTTATCAGTCATAGAATTGCAGAACTGGGAGGGACCTTGGAGACTGTGAGGGCAAGCCCCCCGGTTTCTAACCAGTGACTAACCATAAAATGGGAAATGTGATGGGTGCTCTTCTCTTGAAGCTTTTCAGTGACGAAGACTTCTTGGCTTTTCATACATGTATTTGTAAGGGGTGGAGATCCCCACACAGTTGACTGAACACTGATCTCCCTGAAAACTTCCATGTACACTCGACTGCTAACTGAAAGGTTGGCAGTTCGAACCCATCCAGAGGCTCCAAGGGAGAAATACCTGGCAATCTGCTCCTCTAAAGATTATAGCCTAGGAAACAATATGGAGCAGTTCTGTCTTGTCACATGGGGTTGCTATGAGTTGAAATTGACTCAATGGCACCTAACAATATCAACAGACCAGGAGCTGGCGAACTATGGCCCATGGGCCATATCTTGCCCACAACCTGATTTTCGAAATAAAGTTTTATTGGAACACAGCCCAGCCCATTTGTTCTGCATTATCTATTGCTGTTTTTGTGCTACAATGGCAGAGTTAAATAGTTGCAATAAATAACAAATGGCCCACAAAGCCTAAAATATTTACTATTTGGCCCTTTATAGAAACAGTTTACTGACCTCTGCTCTAGAAAACAAAGCCTAACAAGGTCAACAAGACAACCATAAACCAGTGAGGTCACAGCATTTGATATTCGGGTGTGTGGTCCTCTATAAGGTAGAATGGGAGAAAATAAACCTTGGAGATAGGTTGTCTTAGTATTATACCCCTAGCATCCGACATGGAATTTGGCACATATAAAACACTCAAGAATGTTTATTAAATAACCTTTTAAAGGTTCTTTAACCTTATAAGCACACTTTCATATACTATCATGTTGAATTTCTATCTGATAATTTTTCTTTAAGTCCAAAGCCCCTGTGCATTTGTTTCAGGTAATATGTCTACAAGGACTCCCTGAAGCCATTTGTCATCAGATTATCAAAGGGATCCATGACACCAGTGTGTTAAGGACCACCAATCAAGGTGTTCTCTGTCATCCTTGGCAGTGTTTCTCCAACTATATACCTAATTCATGACTTTTATTGGGTCCCTGTTCTAGATTATACTCTTTAATATTTTTCTGTAGCTTGATCTGATTATTTTTACATTTACTATCTCTTTGACACTTGCCCTAATCAACAGAATTCATGAAATGAGAGGTTTGATGTGATTGTGATAGTTTTGTGTTTTTTTTTCTAATCCACATTAATAAAAATATAGAATGATTTAAATAAGACAGCTTCCTCTGGGTACCACCCAAAATCATCTTTCCCACTGCTAGAGGGAAATACTGGCTAATGGAATGTATTTAAAGTCATTAGCTTGGCTCTCAATACTGGCCTATGGAATGAATTCAAATTCGTTAACTTGTCCCATTTGATGGCTAGTCATTAGTTGGAAAACTGAGGGCTTGCCCACATAATCTCTAAGGCCCCTCCCAGTTCCATAATTTATGACTGATAAGTCTTAACCTCTTGATCCGCCATAGATCCTATTCATCCTCTATAGTGCATGGGACACTGCAATTACTCAGTTAATATTTGTTGAATGACTGAATGAATTTGTAAACCCTCCTGTTTCAAGAGATTGCGCTCTTCACCACTTGCCAAGACACTCCTTTGTTTTACTGTATTTCACATCTTTGGATATGTTCTGACCCTTTGGAAAGCCCTCTTGCCTCATCTCCACTTATCCAGTATATGGCAAGACCCAGCTCTGATCCTTCCCTGTTCCACGATCCCTCCCTCACTTCCTTATCTGGAAGTTCATTCCCCTCTCAGTGACTTTCGCACTTACTCTCTAAATCTCTCCTTTGACCTTTTAAATTTACATCCTTGTATTTCAGTTGTCTTTTTATGAATGGATCTTCCCAACTAAATTGCCATCATGCATCAGGTACCACTGCTTATACTTCCTTTTATGCCTCCAACCTATAACAATGCCTGTAACAGAGGCAGTGCTTTAAGAATATTGATTAATTGATGATCTTGGACACCAGACCAAATCGATTGAGGGGCTTGATGTACGTCCTTAATATATCATCAAGCTCTTGGTTAAGAAGCAGAAATAGTTTGGGAGCTTTCCACCCACTATAAGAATGGAGCCGACTGACCCTCCTTGAACAGGGAACATGAGAAGACCAAAGATGGAGGAGGAGACTAGTTGTTCCATGAATAAGGGAAGTGTAAAATGCAAGTTCACCATGGTGGGAGGAAGGGATTACAAAGGAGCACAAGGCAACTGTTGGCAGTGATAGAGATGTTCACTATCTTGATTGTGGTGGTGGTGTCAACAGGTATTTACATATATCAAAACCTACCGGATTATACACTTTAAATATGTGCAGTTTATTGTATGTCTATTATACTGCAAAAAAGCCGTTTTAAAAAAATGAGTTCACTGTGAAGTTCTGTGCATATGAAAATGGAGAAAGTAATAGATAAACTGAAAAACCAAACTTGTTGCCGTCAAGTCGATTCCAACTTATGCGACCCTATAGGACAGAGTAAAACTGCCCCGTAGGGTTTCCAAGGAGCAGCTGGTGGATTTGAACTGCTGACCTTTTGGTTAACAGCCACACTCTTAACCTCTGTACCACTGGGGGAGTTGAATTTCAGGGCAAGGGAACAAACATTTGTTGAGCTGATTTAATATGCCAGGTACTTTGCAAATATTGTCTTATTTAGTTCTTACCGTGACCCCTAAAGTGCAGGTATTGCTGCTCTGTTCGTTTTACATTGGAAGACATTGAGCCTCAATGCAGAGATCAATGATCACAAAGTAAAGATATAGCAGTGCTAGGAATCCAAGGCATGCTTTTGCCACCTTGGAGGTAGATACTAATTAGTTAGGTTTGAAGTTTTTTGTCCTAATCTTCTAGGGGAGTTGCATTGAGCAGACCCAAAGGGTCAGAAGAGACTCCATAGCAGCCAACGGGGAGGGCCTAGGGCAGGATTCTGGCCCCCAGGACTGCACAGACTCCACTTACAGACTAGCAGAGGTGCGGCAGCTGGGTTTCCATTGAGAGAGATGCTCCTGCCCTTGGTAATCCCTAGTAATAACAAATTCTGCAAACTCCACATCCTGACCTGGATCAACCAAATCCTGCTCGGGAGAAGTAAGAACTGAAAATGGTCCTATTTTTTCCAAGGCATGCAAACACCATTTTCCCACTCACACCCTGAGCCAGGCACTTAGTGCTGGGAAGTGTTAGGAAGGGTTCCCACAGAAGGAAGTGGTTCATTTTTGTTTCAGACTCACCTCCAAAAGGAACCTGTAAAGCCAGTTGGCCACTTCCACTAGAAATATGTTGCTATTACAAATTTTGGAGGTTGGCTAAAATTTATAGGCAAATGGTATCTCAGGTACTAAGCAATATTTACTCAAAATTTACTCTAATGTTAGAATATTAAGTAATTCATTAATAATAACTATGGATTACACCTCAACATAAAGAAAACAAAAATCCCACAACTGGACCAATAAGCAACATCAAGATAAACGGAGAAAATATTGAAGTTGTCAAGGATTTCGTCTTACTTAGACCCGCAATCAACAACCATGGAAGCAGCAGTCCAGAAATCAAAAGAAGTATTGCATTGGGCAAATCTGCTGCAAAAGACCTCTTTAAAGTGTTTACAAGCGAAGATGTCACTTTGAGGACTAAGGTGAGCCTGACCCAAGCCATGGCATTTTCAGTCGCCTCATATGCATGCAAAAACTGGACAATGAATGAGGAAGACCAAAGAAAAAGTGATGCATTTGAATTAGGGTGTTGGCAAAGAATATTGAATATACCATGGACTGCCAGAAGAACAAACAAATGTGTCTTGGAAGAAGTTACAGCCAGAATGCTCCTTGGAAGGGAGGATGGCGAGACTTTGTCTCACATACTTTGGACATGTTATCAGGAGGGACCAGTCCCTGAAGAAGGACATTATGATTGGTAAAGTAGAGGGTCAGCGAAAAAGAGGAAGACCTTCAATGAGATGAATTGACACCGTGGCTGCAACAATGGGCTCAAGCACAGCAACAATTGTGAGGATGGCGCAGGACCGGGCAGTGTTTTGTTCTGTTGTACACAGGGTCACTATGAATCAGAACCAACTGGACACCACCTAACAACAACAACAAACTTTGTTCAGCACTTTATAGCAAATGGAGTACTTTCTTACCTCTTTTGAGTTGCTCAATTGTGTGACGTGGGTATTATTATCCCCAATTTACAAATGAGGAAATTAAGGTTCAGAGAAATTAAGCTAATCCTTCACAGCTACTAAGTCAACCAGCTCTCAAAATTCCAAATCCTGAGATATCTCTTTGCCACTGCCCTTCCTGCTTTCAAAAACATCTGGCCACTGTCAGTCTAAACCCTCTTTTATATGTGCTTAATGACTATAAAAGCATAATTGGCAAATATTAAAGAATCAGCTTCCCTAGACTCACCGCTTCTACCTAGATATTGGCGGGGGAGGGAATTGGCCAATTAGCACCACATTAAACAAGGGATTAATTTGCTATCCCATTAGATTTAGTTACTGAATTCAAAGACCTGGGTAGATGAAGCACTTTTCCCACCAGTGTTGTAAAGCCTTGTGCATTGTCCTTCATAAAGACACAGAAATGATAAGCTGGATCATTAATTGGGCCACGTACACGTCCCAGAAACTATAAACAGTGTTCAAGAATATGCATGACCCATCAGACACAACCAAACTTTAGGAAGAATCTCCAAAATGTAAGTTTTCATCCAGTTTTGGGTATTCCTGAAATAAACTCACAAAACGGAAACGCACCCAGAGTTTGAGTGAAACGCAAATCACAACTTTTTGGGTTTTGTCTGTTTTCATAACTTTGTTATAAGTCAAAGTTGAAAATTTTGTAGTCAATTTAAAGCCAGAATGGAAATTGAGGCCCATCTGGTAAATGACAAAGGCTAACATTAATTTTCTCTATTACTTGGTGCCCAAATTAAAATTTTAAAAAGATCCAATTATGAGGTCAAAATGGTAGACTTTCTATGGCTTTGGATTAAAAGATTTTCTTTAATATCTTTTTAGGTTCTGAAATGACCATATAAGGGTATGTGTAGACCAAAATCTGTATTGTAGATGCTCTCGCCCTTGTGTATATCATTCCCATGCATTACAAATTTACTTAGCGCTTCTTTAAAAACCCAAGCCAATTTTCATTGGTGAAAATGTAAACTTACCTTCGTTTTTGAAACTCCTAATGATGTTGGCAGATGGCATGGAGGTCCGATCTGTTGCGAATTTATTGTAGAGTTCCAACATGTACTCTGGTGGGTCAACCTTGGCTGAATCCTGCATAGGAATGTCAGACAGGTTCAGCGTCTTGAGAAACTCATTCTTCATGCTCTGTAACAGTGTGTTAAAGTCGACACCATCTTGCTCTGAGAAGACATCGTCGAAGAGGGGCATGTCTTCTTCCAGAGGCGACTGCTCAAGGCTCATGATGGGGCTGCCAGAAGCCAAGTGAGCCGCCAAGCAGAAGAGAGCGCACAGCGGCAGGGCCGGAGAACCCATGACTCCGTTGGAGCCCCCAGCCCAACCAGGAAGGTTTAGCTCTCCTGCGCTCTAAGTGGCAGTTTTATCTGGTGGAGCGTAAATGTCTCATGTCATCAGAGTTGACAAGTTTGGAAACTCTTTCGCTCTCTCTCCCTCCCCCTACCACTCTTCCTCTCCCCCCAAAAGTCAGGTTGCAGTAATTGGATAACAAAATCCCCCATATGGGCCTAACCTTTCTTATCTCTCTAGTGTAAACTTGTGCACCAGATTTTGTTTCTATCTTGAAATCCCTTTTTCTTTTAATGAGCATTTTGTAAACATTTCCACATTCTGACACTGACTGAGAGATAGGACAATTTTCTTCTCGCAAACGCTTTGCTTCTCCTCCTTTCAACTCACTTCCTTTGGCAGGAATGCCTAAGCTCTGCTTTTATTCATTTCGGTCTCACACATGCAGTATAATAGGTATTAAGAATTGACAAAATCCACATAGGTGCTGATACATATTATTCAAGGGGTGTCACTTACACCCACGCATAAACATTTTTGAAGGAACACCAAATACCCAACATCTCCAAGTTAATAAGATATGAATCCATGTATATAAGTTTTTTAAGCAGTGCAATTTTAGAAACAGGAAAGCTAAACTTTGTGCTCAATAGCCTTTTTCCCACAGATTTGATCTGGTTAAAATGGCTTCTGAGAAATCGTTGCAAGTACTTAATTATAATAGCAACTAAAATTTATTACGTGTTTCCTTACAAACAGCTGTTGTGCTAAGTGCTTTAAATAAATCATGTAATGTGCTCCTAATAATAACTCTATTATTATTCCCATTTCATATATGAGTCATCAAGGTCAAATAACTTGCTAGAGGTCACAGAGTTACAAAGTGATAGAGCCAGGATTTGAACTCAGACAGTCTGACTCTTAGACAAAAAAAAAAAAAAAATACTTCTCCACCACTATTCCACTAGACTAGGGTGTGGGCAGCAGTGCTGGGAGGTTAACGAATCACCAGGCCATGTGTGAGCCAGGCAGTCCACAGCGCCAGGAGGGAGGTAGCAATTTGCAGCCCATGCAATGAATTGTTAATATGCCCCAAATCTCTGCCAGCTCCATTCTGGCTAAATCAAATTGATCATGAAATGGCTCCAGCAAAAGCTCGGCAAACAACATTATAAGGCCGATGAACATGCCTAGGACTGAGAAAAAGGGTAGCACTGGTTGTGTCTAGTTTACAAAAGACAAATCAGTTTCACCTTATTTTCTAACGCTACTTAGTGGCAGTGGCAACCTTGATGTGGTCCGGTGGCTCTGGGGACAACTCCAAGGGCTGCTTTTCATACTGAGGCAGTGGGACTGGTTCTCCCTGACTTGCTCAGTCCACTGCTGGTACAGTTACTGAGACACCCTGGTGCTGTGTTCAAAAGGGCACGTCTAGATATCTGGTATACTGGAATACCCTCTTCATTTTCGAGTTAAATTCCCCTACGTTTACCCCAACAGGTTAATGACAACATCTTCGCTTTGCTTTTCCTCTTCAGATTCTCTAAGGTTTGTAGTCATGTTCTGGTTCATTCCCAGCCAAAAATGCAAAATTTTATAGCAATGTATTGAATTACCATAGAAAGAATTATACTTTGAGGAAAAACCCTTCCTAGAAATTATCCATTCGTTCAGTGGTTAAGAGTTATATTCAATATTTCACTTTACTTAAAGTTTCTGCTCCTATTTTAAAAAGACAATTGTGGACTGAAAATAGATTATACCCTGAACAGGCCCACAAGTGAGCTCAAGGGCCGGCAGCCACTCTGTGGGTGATGCATTTTAGCAGGAACTTTCTGACAGCATACCACCAAGGCCTACCTATCACGCCCTGCATCAAGACCAGCACCTGCTTATCTTCACACGCACAGAGATGTCATCGCACACTCCAAAACTCTGAATGGCAGGCATGTGTGTGTCCCTGCTGCCGGACAGCAGAGTAAGTGCTGGTACTTATAACCGGGACACTGGCTTCAAAGTTCAGGAGCAGAAAGGGGCACCCCACATTGCAGCGTTCTCATTCTTTACATTCTCAGGGGTTAAAACAGGTGACTGAGACTTCGTTGGCTTCCCTCTATCTGGTGTTAGAGGAACTATGGGGTTTCTCCAGCAAAATGTTTATGCCTTAGGCCGATTAAAAGTTAGAATAGGAATAAATACATTGCAATGGCTACAGGTTTTTGAAATGCATGTTTAGTAAATGTCCTTAAGCCCCACACCTGGATTTCAAGCATGGAGGAAGGGGACAAAAGCTTCCCCTCTTCTAGGTCTGGGACACTTGACATCTGTATCCCCATGATTTTCTCTAGAACCTTTTAGTAAATTTCATCTGACTGTAAAGTGTTCAAATACCTCTACATTCCTTCCCCTGTCGTGAATTTTTTAGACACAATTGATTCTATCACTCATTATTTGGGCAGCATGAGTAATTGCCTAATTTGGCAGCAACAGTTAAATCAAAAGACATAGAGCATTGGGCAAATCTGCCGCAAAAGATCTCTTTAAAGCCTTAGAAACAAAGATGTCTCTTTGAGGACTAAGGTACCCCCGACCCAAGCCATGATATTTTCAATCGCCTCATATGCATGCGAAGGATGAACAATGAATAGGGAAGACTGAAGAAGAATTGATGCCTTTCAATTATAGTGTTGGCAAAAAGTATTGAATATACCATAGACTGCCAGAAGAAAGAACAAATCTGTCTTGGAAGACGCTCAGCCAGAATGAGCTTTAAAAACGAGGATAGCGAGACTTGTATCACGTACTTTGAACATGTTATCAGGAGGGACCAGTTCCTGAAGAAGAACATTATGCTTGATAAAGCAAAAGGTCAGTGAAAAAGAGGAAGACCCTCAATGAGATGGATTGATACAGTGGCTGTAATGATAGGCTCAAACATAGCAATGACTGTGAGGATGGCATAGGGCCAGACAGCATTTCATTCTATTGTACCTGGGGTTGCTATGAGTTGGAATCGACTCGACGCCATCTACCACCACCAACAACAACATTATTTTGGATCCGACTCATTTGGGATGTCTGACATTTCATTCAAAGTAGACTGAAGATCATTACTTTGCTGAGCCAAGGATATAAAAGGCATGTTTAGACGTTTTAAGAGAAACTGCTTGTGTGGAAGATGAACTATCATTTACACATCATGCTTTTCAATTCTACTACAAAATGCACAGGAGCTTCTACTTTGCAATGTTCTGAGCCAGCTTTCAAGCCTAGTTCCCATAACTGTACAAACTTGAAGGATCTAACAGTGAATTCCCTCAGATTCTCAAAGAGATCTGAGACAGATCCAGACAGGGTTGGGGTCCATTACACAACATTCTTATGAGTCCTGCTGTGCCCTGTGAGTAGTGGGAAGACCCTGAGTAAATACAGTTGATACAGTTCATTTGGCTGACAAGAGGCCAATAACGTCTGATGTCTTTGAACTTGATTCTAGGTTCTTGGAATGCCCTCCACCTTGGACCTTACTTCAGAAGCATTGGATTACCTCTTTCTACCTACTCACAAATTTTCAGGACCTCCTCAATCCAGGCATGATAATAAAAATATTTAGCATGCTACCTGGCAGAGTTCCAGTCCATCAGAACAGATACCAGCTGTAGTGCTGGATCAGGGTTCTGGAGGCCCCAAGGTTTACCTCTTGAGCTCAGGATCCTGAGGAAATAGGATTAGGATCCTGCAGGAGGGGCTGGGCAGCAACTATTTACAAACTCTTACCGAAGATATTTTAGCAACCAATATAAAATTACTATGTGCAGTAGTTAAGAGCTTGGCTGCTAAAAAAAAGTCAGCAGTTCAAATTCAGCACCGCTCCTTGGAAACCCTATGGCAACAGATAATAGTGTGTAGCTTGCAAGGTTCTGACTTAGGAATTTTAGGCAGGACTTATATTCACTTTTTATATATAAACCAAAAAAAAAAAAAAACAAAAACCTGTTGCCATTGGGTCAATTCTGACTCACAGTGACCCAATAGGACAGAGTAGAATTGCCCCATAGGGTTTCCAAGGAGCAGCTGGTGAATTCGAACTGCTGACCTTTTGGTTAGCAGCCGAGCTCTTAACTACTGCCCCACCAGGGCTCTACACACTGTTAGATCTAGCAAATTCAGCAAGAGGAAAGACATCCTGCACTGATCATTCCCTCGCCTGCTTCTAGCATCTTCTCTCTGGTTGCCCTTTTATTCTCCAGTCCAGATCTTGCCAACTGTACCCAGACCTAGGAAACCATTTGGGGGCATCCTTGTCCCAAGGATGGGAAGGAGAGCTCCTGCTTGTCCCCTGTGCTATCATCTGCCCCAGAACCTCCCTCTGGGATTGAAGGTCACCTTGACAATGGCATTTATAGTCAACTTCAGAGCCCGCATTTTCAGTAGGGAAGTATCCCCTTGCCTCTACTGACCCCTCAGCATTTAGGTCCCTGCTCACCTGTGGCTTACTAGTTTGTCAGTGTTTCTCGTGCACCAACACGCAGAGCTCCTCTCCTCACCCCAGCTTCTTGGATGTATGTGGCTTTAATAGTTTCTTAGTTCCTTCCCTTCGTGAGCTTCCATGTGATCCTTTGACTCTATAATAAGGCGTACAATGTTAGTTATCCTCAGTAATTAGGATAGCAATAAGAAATAGTCAAGCTTTTATAACAGTCTTTCATTCAACAAAGATTTATTTTGTGTGATGATGGCGCAGGACTGGGCGGTGTTTCGTTCTGTTGTACATACGGTTGCTATGAGTCGGAACCGACTCAACAGCACCCAAAAACAACAACAACTTACTATGTCCCAGGAACCATGCAAAAACAAAACCTAAAGAAAACAGACCAAAGCCCTGAAATTGTAGAGTTTACTTTCCAATTGAAGGAAGAGAGATAATAAACAATATATACAAATAAAATGAAGGCCAATGTGTGTAGTGAAAATAGCAAGTCAAAGCAAGGGGATAGGAAGTGCTAAGGGACAGGGTTTCTTTTAACATGGCAGAGGTGAGGGTGTCAGCCATGCAGGCCCAAGGAGGAAGAGTGTTGGCGGAAGAGGGAACAGACAGTGCAAAAACTCTGAGGCAGCAGCATGCTTGCGAGCTTTAAGCATCAACAAGGTCAGGGTGGCTGGAGAAAATTGTATAATGGGGAGAATTACAGGAGATTAGGTCCAAGAGTAAGCAGGGGCTGGACCAACTACGATGTCATGATTTTTTTTTTAATAGTCATATTCAACAAATGCACGATTTTGCCTTGTGCTTTTTTTCACTGAATCCATCCTAAGGATTTTTCATGTTACCACATAGTCTTCATAACCATTAATTACAGTAATTACCTAATTCCATTTGGTAGATGTTTCATAGCCCTGTAAGAGAATATTTAAAGTAGTCCAGAAAAACTTAAAATTCTATTGAAATGTAGAAACATTGAATATGTAGATTTGAAATATAACTGCCAACGTATTCTAAAATTGACGGCACTTGTCTTAGTTTTCTAGGGCTGCCATAATAGAGGGCCACAAACTGATTGGCTTCGAAGAACAGATATTTATTCCCTCACAGTTGTGGAGGCTAGAAGTCCAAATTCAAGGGGTCAGCAGGGCCAGGCTGTCTCTGTCGATTCTAGGAGAAGATCCTTTCTTGTCTCTTCCAATTTCTGGTAGCCCTAGTGTCCCCTCCTGTGGGAACCTATCTCTGTGTCTCTTCTCCCGTTTTATAAGATACCACTCAGAAGTGATTAGGACCCACTCTACTCTGGTATGAACTTGTTAATTTAACTGACAACATCTTCAGACAAAGACCTCATATCCAGACAAGATCACTTTCACCAGTACAGGGGTTAGGACTTCAACGTATCTTTTTAGGGGAACACAA